TGCCTGGGGAAAAGGGGAACCCTCTGCCCTGCCCGCCGCTGCTTTTGGGTGGAGGAGCCGATGCTTCCTGGGCTGGGGGTGCGACGTACCGGGGCGGCTTTGGGGGCTGAAGGCTGTCACTGCTGTGGACACGCCATTAAAGGCTGCTTCTTGGGGCTGCAGGTGCCTGGCCTCCATGTGGGCAGTGCCGTGGATCAGAGCAGAGCAAGGCGCTGTGCAGATCCATGGGAACAGTTTGGTCTGCTGAGACACAGAATAAGCTGGGAACTGGGCATGGATCAGGCAGGGAGCACCCGGTCTGATAACCTGTGCTCGCTGCCTCCTCTATGGAGGTTTTAGTGGGGAAAAAAAAACCCCGAATTTGATAAAAGGGAGTCTGTGAAACAGCTTCAGCCTAGAGAAGATGCATTACAGATGTTCATTCCCATTCTCTTCAGGTGCTTTATGTCATATGGCGTTTGCCAGAGTTCTAGGACTTGCCAGGGACGCCGTCCCCTGTAGTAGTGGGGGCTCACACGGGGTTTTGCCATCCACTCGCCTGGGGTCTGGGATGTTAAATGGGTGCCTTGGGTAAGCAGTTGGTTCAGTCTGGTTTTCTGCCCCCAAACCCGGTCATGGGCTGCTTCCCGTGCCACTCGGGCTGCTGGATTGAATGGACTTGAAGCTTTGGGGCCCCAAGGGGCTTTCCAGAGGTGCTGGGCCTTGCTCAGATCAAGCTGGGCTGGGAGTTCCATGGTGGCGGTGGGAGGTGGCCAGCCTTAGAGCCCTGGCTTTCCGTGGAGAAGAATGTCCCCTCTGCCACGGGAAGCTGTTGTTGGGGCTGATGCCTCAGGACAAAGCTGGTCTGTGCATCCTGACACCTCCAGAACAAGGCCCTCAGCGTCTCTGAGGGTGCTTGGCTGGTGTTTTGGGAGGGACACTGGAGGTGTTATCCCCACTTGAAGTGATCTCTGGGCTTGTGCTGTCCCCTTTGGCTCTCTGGAGCATGATGCTTTGGGCCCCGTGGCACTGGGATCTCTGCGTGCTACTTTGCCCGGCAGCGTGTGGTGCAGGAGACACCTCGGGACTTTCTGTTTTCTGTTAATTCCCCAATTATTCATTGATGGGTTGTATCGGTTGTGACGCATTTGATTTGTGTCCAGCCGCTCTCCTGGCCCTTCTGCCATCTGGTTAATTAAGGGCCAGATGCCGGTGCTTTGGGGCTTCCAATTGCTCAAACAGCAGCTCAGCAAATGAATCGATCTGCCACAATTTTGGGCACCTTGCTAACACCATAGGAGGTTTGGCAGGGCTTTTAGTCCTTGGTTATTAAACCAGGGCACCTTAACCCATTGGTTGATGGACACCAGGACACTGGAGGGTATTTTTACAACTTGGGTGAGAGCAACAGGGTCTTGCCAGCCCTTCTCTTTGAGTGGCACGGTGTGGGGTACCTGTGCTGTGCCGTGCCGTGGTGGTGCAGGTGGGTTGTTTCGTGGCCAGGCACAGCCTGGCTGGTAGATGGGACTATCCTGGTCCCTTCGGGGAGACATGAAGGTTTGAGCTGAGCTCAGGACACAACAGCAGGTTCGCAGCCCTGCATTGCTGCGTGTGGCAGGGCTGAGAGTAAGCTAAGACTGGCTCAAGTTAGGCCAGTCCGTATGAAAATATCTTCCTAGAGACTGTGCGTGGGGCTGCTGTGAGTCGTTGGGCTGCAGGGAGAGCTGTGGGGCAGAGGTAGGAATGAGCATGGGGGTGGGAGCTGTGCCCACGGCTACGCAGGAGGGGGTGCACCATGTAACTTCACTGCTGTGAATAAGGAGTAAAAAAAAATTGGGTTCAGCCTGAGGCTCTTTAGCTGCTGGCTCTAGTATCCTCAGTTGTTCATTCTCCTCTTCCAGGCTTGGATTTTTTATCCTCCCCCACTGGTGTCTGTGCCTGGTCCGGGGGGTTTATTTGTTTGCCAAGGCTGGGGACATGCAGTGCTGCTCAGAGGTGTGGGGGCCGTCACCACCTCACGCCTGCCTGGCCTTTTGCTGTGGCTTGAAATTGGTTTGTAACAACGGAGAATAGCTCTGTGAAGTCCCCACAGCTTCAGTTACCCATCTCAGTATTCAGAATTTTTTCAGTCTGCCTTAAGTTTCTTTTAATTATGCCGGCTTCCTGGGTTTTACTGATCCACCTCCTGCCCTTAAGTGCTTTATTTGCAGCTGCAAGAGGGCGTGTTACTTGCTCATAGGGGCGGTTTTTTTCCCTGCTAACCCTCAGCTGACCCTCTGTGTTCTAGGTGAGCTGTTTCCTAGAAGCTCACCCTTTGTATTCCTCCTCCTCTTTGCCTCTCCCTCTGCTTTAGGTGCCAGCAGATACCCCCGGCACACTGGTGATGTGTGTTTGTGCAGGGCCGGGACAGATGCATCTCCCTGCGTACATTTGCTTCCTTCCTTCCCTTCCCACCTGCCTCGCCAGACCTCGTGGAGACACTCGTCAGGCTGGGTAGATCAAAACTTACTGTCACCCAGTAAACCCCTGTTCTGGGCTGTCACAGAGGCTGTAGGAAGATCGGCGGGGCTACGGCAAGCCCTCTTGCTGTAATAACCAGGCACTCGCGTTGTCCTGGGCATGGTTAGATGATGCTTAGATGATTCGTTCCTCTGGAAGAGTGGCAGCAGCAGCTCTTTCCCCACATCCCTTCCCAGGGATCTCTACGCCTAGGAGCTGAAAAACTGCCATCAGCAGCATCTCAGCTTTCAAGGATGGAGGAATTGGCCTAAAACAGGGTGGTAAAAGTAGCTGGGGGTTGCTAACGAGTTTTCTTCTTCCAAGAGGAAGCGAATGGCACCAGTGATGGCTTATTCAGCTTGTTCAGCGTTGGTGTCATCCCTGGGACTGCATTGGCAAGCACCCGCCTCGGCAAGAAGCACCGTGCCGCATTTGTTGCTGTATCTTGGGTTTAGGAGTGGTTTATTCACCCAGGATGGCTGAATTTGGGACCCTGCTGGCTTGACATCCGGGAGAAAAGGGACAGCTGAGCTCTGCTGTGTTCCTGACCTGAGGGCCTGAGATTGAGGAGGGGGCTTGAGCTGTGCCCATGCCAGTGTGTCACCTGGTGGCTCTGAAATGCAGGTCCCAGGAGGAACACCCAGTCCTGAGCTCAGCTGTAGGAGCACCAGGTTCTTCTT